AAAATAAGACTAGGCGGCGGGACTACAGATTTCTCACTTATCAACTCCATTCTCCTCAGTTATCCATTCTTCTGGCTGAGGTCGCGGTGACCGCTACGCGCCGCTAAAAATTCTTCCACACCGATGAAACGGTTTCCTTTCAACGGGTTCGAATTCAAACCTTTTTCCTTCTTTCCTTCTTTTTTTTTGGGGGGGGGGGAAACGTGGGAATCAAAGCGGTAGCCATATTGCCGCGACAATTTTTTCAAATCCTCCAAAGCGGAGGATTTTTCTTTTATTTTATTTTATTTTATTTTTTTTTTTGTTTCGTCGCGATGGGGGACGCGATAATAGCACCCTCGACGAGGTGTGCTAATTAAAAAAGCTGCGAACTTGACTGTTATTGCGATGAAAAGGAGATGAGGAGAGGCGCGGGGTGGGTTGAAGCGTATATTCGCGCCCGCGTGTTTTGTTTAAAATTAATATTTTTCGAACCGAAATAGCGAATTCCCCCCGGAGGGAATTCTCCACCGATACACCCCTCTTATACTGAATTAAATTGCAACTCCCCCTCTCTTTCATTTTAACGAGGGCCCGATTTTACGGCCGAATCAACCATGATTCGCGAATCGCGCCGCGAAAGTGGCGCGGAAACTGCGATCAACAAGTTCATTCTTGTTGCGAACGTCGGTCGATCTTGGAAGAGGGATCGCGGACGCATCGGAGCAATTAAAGTTTAATTAAGCTCGGTTCTATCCCCTCCCCCTTCGTTGTCGACTAGGCCGTTGTTAATGTCCTTATCCTTGTGAACAAGGGACGGAATTAAAATCTAATATTCGGGATCGATGACTACCACTTCGGCACACTCTAACGCGTCTTTTATTAAACGATCACCGGGCGGCGAGGAATGCGGTTATTGCTTTCATTCGGAGCAATTTTTCATTCGGGGAGGAGGAGAGGTGTATTAGAGGTCGGTCGGATCGCTGTACACCGTCCGCATTTTTCACGAAACTTTGAAATTTCATTCGATATTATATATTGCTTTTCGACCTTTTAATTTTTCCCGATATTATTCGCCCGATATGAAGTTATTTATTCGGTTATTTTTTTTTTTTTTGTTATATCGGTTTATCGATCGCAATCTTACGAATATGTATATGTATACCTCGGTCATCGATCGATTCTCGATCACGCGAATTCGAGAGTGATGTTTGTCGATGTTCGCTCGACCGACGCGGCCGAAGAAGACACGAACGGACGGATTTCCACGAAAATTCGATGTTCGCTCGTTAGGCGTCGAAGGGGGAGACAACGTTCACGCGGCGTTCATCGTTAATGAATCAAATCCAAAGGCGGGGAGGAAAGGCCTGTAATTTTCCAGGTTGACGAGCTCGCCACGAGCTCTCTCGGCCGAGATGTTGCGCCAAACATCCTTGCGCAGTCGGATCTCAGTTGAATTTCCTTCCTTACACCCGACAGTCAAAGGGTGTTTACAATTTACTTATCGCCCGTTTGCATACTCCGCGTCGTCGATCGGGGAGGAGAGGCGGCTCTCTCGTGTGTGCCCATTTCGCACGCGGGTGTGAAAGATTCCCGGGAAGAAACAGCGAGAAGAAATGGGAGCGTGGCCGAGAGAAAGGAAAGGCGGAGAACAAAGAGAGCCGCCCGTTAACCTCTTTGTTACGTGAACCTTTGCTTAATCTCTGAAAGCGGATTGAACACGTCGCGCGGATCAATAAATTACCGCTCACTTTGAACCATGTTTAAAGGGGAACTGTGTTTAGCGCACACGTACCGCACGTCGGATCTCGCAAAAGTATCTCGTTTGATTCGCGGTTTCGTTTACTCTAATTTTCCACCATCGCGATTAATTCCCCTCGCGTGCATTTTCCTTTGGAATCTCGTTCCACCACGGCCGGGATATATATGTGCACGTTTGTTGGAATTTTTTTGCGGAAATTTCCTTTGGAATTTTTATTTCATCACCGTGGATACGCATCGTGGCGCAATATTTTTCGTTATAAATAACGAAAGATGTATATATATATATATATAGGTCGTTGGCGTGGATTCCAGTTTTCTCCCCCTTGTTTCGTCCCTTCGTCTCGAGGAAAGGTTATCCGTTAAAAGAAACGACACGATATGATTCAACGTTGAATTCTTCTGAAAGATAATCGTGTGTTTTCCCGCTTTTCGACACGCTTATCACGATCCACATAATTCCGAGACTTATAGCGGAGCGTTATACCACTAACATGGATTTGCACTTCGCCGGTCCCGGGATGTGTGATTCCACCAGCATCTCTTCTGGAACCAAAGTCTGGCGGGCATCCGAGGAACACCGAGAATCCATACGCGCGTATCCAACGCGCGATATAACGTCTAGTCTTTTTCCTTTCTTTCTTTCTTTCTTTCTTCCTTCCTTCCTTCCTTCCTTCTTTCCTTTCCTTTTCTCCGTATTTTTTCAAGCTAGATTTCTATTTTATTCCGATTATTATATCGCGCGGAATAAAAGTTTAACGCAGTTCTCCAGAAGTAATTAAAAACCAGAATTGCGGGGAAACGGAATGTTTTCTTTCGAAAAAAAAGAAAACTCTCTCTCTCTCTCTCTCTTCGCCCACGTAAAAATGTTATGAATCGCCGCTGTTTCATTCCACTCTCACCACAATTTTTCTCTTTTCCTTTTCCTTCTCCTTTCCCCCGCGCAAAGGACAAAGGCTCTCTCGAGAGATGGGTCGAGGAAGAGGAAAACCGAGAATCGTGCCGAGAATCGTGCCGGGGGAAAAGAAGCGTTCTTTTTTTCACCCTCCCCCCCTTTTTTTCAGTTTCTTCCTCTCTTTTGATATCTCGTAATTATTGATTCGATTAGAAATTCGATATTCCAAAGGGGGGCGAGCGTGTAAAGCGTTGCTGACAGAATCTAAGGAAATTACGTAATTTCCGGCTTCCCTGTCACGAGGCGGGCCCCTCCCCCCCCTCCCCGTTTCGCGTAAGGATTTCTGCCGTTTCCAAGATGCATCTGACGTTCCCTTATCCAGTTGTTTACGCTGTTACTGACACGTTTAATTTTATCCGCGCGGTCACTTTATCTTCCAACCAGCAAACCCTCCAACCGTGGCGCATATATATATATATTTTGCCTCGAACAAACTTGCTCGCGGCCAATTTGGCCGATCGTCCTCGATCGTCCCGCAATTCGTCCACAATTATAATTAAAAAATCGCGAGCAAGTTGTACCGACTTGTTGCATCCTACGAATTTCCTCTCGTTCTAAATTTTCCTATACTCCCCCTCTCCTCCTCTCCTTTCGGCTCACCATCGATCACCATCGTCGGATCATCCGTCGGATTCATCCGGGATCCGCGTGATAAAGCTCCACTTATAGCTCAATCCGTTGCCACTTCCTGTTTCTGCATTCTGAACAGGTATTCCGGACGCAATAATAAATAAAATTTTAAAACGATATTATACTTTTTCTATTCTCTCTTTTTTTTTTCGAGTCGTCCAGTTTTATCGAGAGTTAACGAGTTTATTTATATTATGTATTTTCAGGAGAGAGAGAGAGAGGGGTGGGGAGAAATAAAAAAATAAAAGGAGACGTGCGCGACAACGTTTCCGTGTTTTCGTTACGTTACAAGCAACAACCAGAGCCTGGAGAGAGCCGGCCTTAAAAAAATATTGCGCTAACTTTTACCTTATATACGTTTTCATTTCTCTGTCAGTTTTCTATTCGGGATAACGTTGACCCAGATTTACATTTTTCCGCAGAGTGTTCTCGGGGTAAAAAAAAACGTTTGCGTACGTATACACGCCGGCACAGACGCTACGTGGAAAAGTTGCGTTTACTTAATGGATCCCAAGGCGATATATGCGGACGTCTTTTATTGTCACTGCGTACCACGGGAACTTGGATCGTTGCGGACTGCGAACGAAGCATATCTTCGTATTAGGTATCGGAGGGGGAGAGGCGGGGGTTAGATGAGCGAAATAACCGCGACACGCTTCTTTTATCGATTCCTAAAATACGTATCGGGATAAGTTGGTACGAGATATGGAACGGCCATCGTTCCATTCCCATCCGACGATTTATTCCACGGCTTTAAGGATAACGCGTTTATTATATAACGATGAAATTTCTCATTTTCAGACTCGCGGCAGAGAGAGAGAGAGAGAGAGAGAGAGAGAGAGAGATGCAAAAGCGTTGCCTAAATTCTCATCATCCTTCGACCTATATATCCCCGCTTTTTTGCAATTTCGCGCGAGCAAAGTTTTCGGGGGATGCATCTAACAGGGGAGGCTCTGTCGATAGTTTGAAAGCTGATGCATACATACCGTTGCTACGGTTCAAGCGTAGACTTAAAAACAAGTCAAAGAGCATTTAATCAAATGATGAGGATAATAATAATAAATCGAAAGGAAGATGAGGACGAAGATAATGTAGGGAAAACGAGATGAAAAAAAGAGATATTAATAAGATACGATAATTGGAAGATAGTTAGAGGGGAACAATTTTGTTTATCGCGCGAGCAAAGGAAAAAAATTAATCGAATAAACGCGAAAGAGATTCGAAACGGAGAGTATAGAGAGTAAATATCGAAGTAGAGAAAAATATATGTATATATACGAATATTCCGAGTGACATTTGTATAGAAGAGAAAAAGAAAGAATAGTAAATAAGGGATAAAGAAGGAAGCGCGGGACAGAGGAGAAAGAAGGAAAGGAAAGGGTAAAAAGGAAGAAGAAAGCATAGGTATATAGTCATAGAGATAGAAACGTGTGGTACGGCGTACGCCCCGCCCTCTTCTCGACTCGACTCGTCGCTCTCCCTCTCCCTTTTCCTCTCGAACCTCTGACGGTAGGGTTCTCCGTTGGTCGTGCACCCTCCGTCGGTGTGTGCCAGCCCTTCTCCCCTTCGCTCCTCTTCGCGCTCGTTTGCGAGCTTACATCATACCATTTTCGATGGATCGATGGTAATTCGGTAACCCTCCGCAGTGCGGCGCCAACGTCGCCGCCAGAGCAACTCAGCCGCTCAGTTGGAACTCGGGTTCACTCAGTCTACGACCGTTTGCCACGAGACTTCGATCACATCGGTCTTTCCCCGTCTTTCTCTTCCTCTCCTCCCTTCTTTTTCCCGCTTGGAGAACAGAAAGCAACTACCACCACCACTACACACCACCACCACCATTACCACCACCGCTGGCGACGCCGTCGACGCCGACGCCGCTGCCGCCACTATCGCCACCACCACCACCACTGTCACCGCCACCGACGACCGGAGAGACGCACGTAGTCTAAACGTGAGACTCGCACGGACGTTGTCGTACGTCCTCGCCGGTGGTCCTCGTACACTGTTTTTCGAGCTAGCTCCGGTTGTACTTCGACCTCATCCTTCATCGAGGAGTGATCAGCGATAACAGGTGAGCCACGATACAATATCTTTTTACTTATCGAGTACAATTTGCGCATCGCATCGTTTCGATAACATCACCGCCGTTGTCACGTTTCCAATGTTTAACGCGTCCCTTCTCTCGTCCCTGATTTCTTTCTTTCTTCCCTTCCTCTTTCTTTTCACGCGTTGTCTCGCGTAAAAAGCGATGTGGTATTTGTATATACGCATATCCTAACCTTCGCGGTGTAACGACACGCGATATTTGTTTTTGTCTGACGCGTCGACATTAGATCGAAACATTCGTAATATGAATTTCAATGGTGGAAGGGTAAGAGGGAGGGAGGGAGGGAGGGAGGGGATAACGAGAAAGAAACCCGCGTGCGATATCGAAAGATTTCGAACGCATCGAAGTCGCGTCAAGTCGAGTGCGGCTAAGTTCACGGTACATCGCGCGGCAGATTGTCGTTCTTCGTCAGCCGCGGCGTATCGCGTATTTTCCTGCTCTCTCTTTTTCGTGGTCGTTGGTTGCGAGAAGTACGTGTTCCACGGTTCGATAAAACGCAAGGGTTAGGCCGCTGCAGGTCTCTCTCATCGATCTTGAACGCCTAAGTCGTCGACGACGCTCGTGGCTTTCCACCTTCTCGTGGTCGTGTGTATGGTGTACCCGTCGTCAAAGTCTCCACGCGATTTCCCCGCGGAAACGCTTTACCAAGTCGTTATCGCTTCCTTTCCCGTATCTACGCTCCACTTAACCTCTACAAGCTCACGAGGTATTTTACCTCGATGTATTTTGTTGCTACGCAGTTGGAAACTGCACGCGTATCTCTGATTCGTAAACAATCCGTTAAATGAAATGGAATGCAAACAATAACAGTAAGTAATATTTTTTTCGTGCATTTCAAGGGATAATATTCGAGGAATATTACGATGTAATATTTGCGATCAACTTTACAACATAAATGTTATCGTAGCAATTGCGTTTCAGATCTAATTTGAATGTGATGTTAACACGGTGTTATCATTTTCCGTATCGTTATCGGGTAAATCAAGTTCCATTAGGAAAATGTAACTTCGGCGGGTCTTAAATTGAATGGCAGTTAAAGGGAACCATTTCTGCGATGTATGCAGCTTGATGGAAGGTGTATCGGGAGCGCGTCGTTCATTGTTCGGAAAGTGTGTTTTAGAGAATAATCCATTTAAGTTGATTTCTAATTCAAGAATCAAATCCTTCTCGAGTACTTACGTACTTGCTTTCAACGACGTGAACAAATTTTGTTTGTTGTCGCGTAGATTGACGGAAATTAGAGACACGAATGAACGTACGAAGGGACGGAAATCGTTTCGCGTTTAAGAGGTTAGGAGAATAAGAAAAGATCGAAGAAAGGCGCGACTTATTTACTCGTTTCGTTTCAACCATTTTTCGCTTCATTTTCGTCTGTTTTGATATTTTAAAAGTTTCATATATTATTTTCCTCGTGCGTGAGAAAATAAAATGTCTTGTAATAAATCCTCAAAATTATTTGTCTTACGTAATTTTAAACGCGTAATGAAATTTTTCTTTCATTTATTATCGTATTTCAAGAAAATATATCTGTTGAAAAAGATATAGCTAACGAGTAAGATTTTCAACGCGTTCGGTAAAATTTTCAATGTGTTCAATTCGAGTTTGTCAAGTTTAAGTGATGTTTAAAGCTCGAAACTTGGTGTACGAATTACTCGACAACCCATTTGTTCGTTGGCGATCGTTGTTGCCATCCTTTTACAATGCGACGCGAATTTGAAATTTCATTGCACGAAATTTCTCGAAACTTCGGGAAGTTATCTTAACTCGAAAATTAATTTCTTTTCGTCAAGTGGCATTATTACTCTGTCATCTCTTAACTTTACACTTGTTAGGCAGTTCGATTCGTCGCTGTCACAATTATTTGCCAACTATACGTCTCTGCCAACCCAATCTCTGTACCTCTCTAACCATTTAACTTGATAAATGTATGTTGCACGCCCTCGTAATTAATGACAGAAGTGATACGTCGCTGTCTGATTATGCGACTAGGCTTAACTCGGTTGCAATGAATCACAGACGTCTGTCACGCTGCTGTGTCTCCTCTCTTACCCTTCACGATCGTCAAACGTGTTTCCTTTCCAAAAGCGTCAATGGTCGACTCGTTCTTGACTCGGTTCTCGTGGATCCATGAATCATGGAAACGTCCCCCCCATCCCGTGGATGGGAGACGATATTTCCGGTATTTCCACGGCGGGAAATTCTTTCAAAAATCCTTCACCTCGACCAGCCATCCTTTAGATTCCCTCCGCGTGAAAAAGGATTTCTTATTCCCGGGCGAGAATTTACAGGTTTAGGATAATAAAATTCAAAATTGAGGAAGGTGAAGCGCAGTTTGTTTAGATTGCATCGTCGGGAAGAGGCGCTCGAACACGACGAGTTAGATTTTCCCCTCTATCAGCAAGGGATTTCCCTGTTCTTTTGAGTGTGAAATTTAAGCTCGCACACGTTCAACCTCTCCTCTCGCGGCTTTAAGAAAATTCTGTCTGCTCGCATCGAGTCGGCCTCGTTCCGCATTCTTACGGCACGTAACATCGAAATTGAGACGTCCTTCCTTGGGTAAAGTCTCGCCCGACCGCATTACCATTTTTCGGCAATCGAACCGAATCGATAGTTCCCCGCCTGCCCTGGCGCCGTTCCTCGGCGTCGAGGCGCCGTCCAATCGACCCCCCTTTCTGATCCTGAACCCTATAAATCGCTTGTAAACCGACTCTTCTTTCCATTTCATCGCTTCATCGTTCCAACCCCGTCTTACTGCCCTTAATTTACATTTTCGAGAAATGTTGCCGATCTTGGATCCAAAATTCGAAACGTCACATTTTCCACGATATTTCGGGATCGATGTTCTTTTCCTTCGCGTTCGCGTATTTTAGAATGATGGTTCGATATCGACGAATAAAGAATAATCACGTTGGGTTTATTTTAAAAATATTCGTAACTAGGTATCTAGGTGACACGGATATCGCCAAGTGAGAACGTCGATCATCCTTTAATATTCCATGGGACGTATCGTTCGAAATAGAAAGGTATCGGCTGCAATATTTTTCGTAACGGCCGATTATATTCGAATCGATGTATCGATAACACGATTCTTTTTAACTCGGTCAACTATTACGCGATTGATCTCGTCCTTGATTTCTTGGCTGACCAAACACGGCCCGTCACTACTAATTTTTCAATCCAAACATTCTCTAGCTGGTTAACCTGGCAATCGTGAATATCGGATTGCGTTTAAATCACGTTTCACGGGTCCGATGTTTCGAAAATTTACGAAGGGAGCAAGATATATATGAAACAAATCGTCGATACGAATATTTTCCGATTGAAATACGGCGTGCTCGTTAAACGAAACCATTCGATTTCTACGCGATAGAAAAATAAAGAGATTACGATAATATAACACGGGAAGAAGGGAAGGTTGGAAATTTACAACCGCAACATTTATCGAAATTCCAATTTTCCAAAGCAGCAACGATATCTTCTCCCTTTAAAGTTAAAAGTTGGAGGAAAAGGGATTGGTATGCACCGCGAGGGAAAGTGACGTCGTTTTGAAGGACGAGTTGTCGAGCGAGGGTGAAGTGGGGAAACGACAGTTCCCTCTTAACGAATTGGGAAGCGTGCATACTCCTCCCCTCTAATGGGAAGGAGGAAGGTTTTCGGTTGAAACTAATTTCGAGCAGTCTGGACTTACGGATCCGTGAATTGCTAAGTAATTTTGCCAGGGCTTTGAGAGGTCGCGATGATAATTTCGGTCGAAGTCGAGGGTAGGTCGTGGTGGTGCGCCGGCCTGGAACGGTGCAGGATGAAAAGAAAAAGGGTGGAAACCGGCGCAGGGGGACAAAACGAAAGCTCCGGGAAACATATATTACAAGACGCTCGTAACTTACCTCGATATCGATCGGTCGGGATGGATGCAATGGCGAGTGTTTTGAACGAAACCCTTTAGCCCGATCCATTTCGTTAATTTCCTTTTTTTTCTCTTTCTCTCTCTCTCTGCCCCCCCCCCTCTCTTGTTCTATTTCTATCTCACACTCGAATCCCTTTTAACCTTCCTCGATGCCAATCCGTTTTTAAAAATTTTCCCCTTTATTCCGCGAAACGAATCTCGCTACGGATATTTTTCGTGAAACATAACGAGCGTGTATGTACAGTTGGTGCATGCATTCCACCGTGTTCGCGCGCTTTAAACTTTCATTTTGATGCTTTTATTCGTATATATTTCATCTTTTTTTTCTTTTTTGCTTACCACGCTATTTTATTCCCCGCGTTGACGCAGTTTCTTTTTTCAAACCGTGGTTAATATAAACCGCGTCTCTTTGGTACAAAAGCCTTGAACGTATTTTTTTTTTTTATTCCACGCTTGAACACGAAGACCTTCAACACTGTTGGGATAGATCGTCGGTTCTTTTCTTTTTTTTTGGAGGGGGAATCGGTCTTCGGCGATCGATCCTCCCTCTCGTTTTATGCAAATTTTTCCCAAAAGCGAATTCTCCGTGTTTTCAATTTAATCGAATTAACGGAGAAAATATTTATTAATTAACGGAGCTTGAAATTATCGTTAGCTCGTCTATGCGTGCGGGAAATTGACGGGACTACCGTCTGGTAGATCGCGATCGAGGCGAGCTTTCTTCTCACAGAAGATAAAGAGAAAGAGAATGGACTCGAAACTGTTGACTGTTCAGTTATCTCTACGAGCCTTGCAAATTGTAGAAACAAAATTAGGAGCATCTACCGCACTCGTAATTCCTGCCAAAATCTCGAATTTTTATTTCGAGCGTATTTAATGTTTGGCGCAGAAACGAGTGCGTCCTCTTCTGATTTAATCCTTTGCACTTTATATTTAACAAGATTACCAATAGAGTCCTTAGAATGTAATTATATTGTACATACGTTTACTAAGGTATCGCAAAGGATTAAAATCGTGCGCGATTCCTCGCTCTTTTCGAAACGATCACGCGCGTTCCATC